CAGGTAAAGATTATATAGGCTCCCACAACCGTTACACAAAAGCCCGCGTTTATACAACCAATAAGTTTCAAAGCAAGCATTTCACAAACCAATAACTTCAAAACAAGAAAAATGTTACAACTCCCTTCAGGTGTCTCAGTCGGGGAGGGATGGGTGGTATGTGCCTGGCGCGACCCTTCCCTGTTATCTTGTGTAAGCAGACATGCCTACGTGACACGACACAGATCAGACAGGTCAGGCTTCAGGGGCTGCAGCACTTGTCCCTATCTCCGGATGCCTGTGTCTCCAGTTGAGTTAATTGGTTACAAGCAGTAAATTCAAACAAGTAAATTCAAGCAGTAAATTCAGACAAGCAGTAAATTCCTCTTTCCCTAACACCTTGACTTTTGGTCTGTCTTCATTCATTTCTGCCACCTCTAAAGGACAATTTTATGTTTATTTTTAAGAAATAGCTTACGCGTTACAAAGTATGGCTTGTACAATATTTTTAGGATGTTAAACAGCACTAACAGGCAATTAACAAAAACAAATGAACCATGTCTCACCACTCTTCTAAGCCCTGTTCCCATTCCATTAACACACCCCAGTTTATCATCCAACTTATTTCCTTTTCTGACATTTTCCTTTCTGCTGCTCCTGTAGTTTTCTGTAGTTCTTCATTCTCAACTTTAGAGTCAAAGCATCCATCAGTGTTTCTATTTCCTGGTCTTTCTCCTCTGCTCCTCTTATCTTTAATATCCCTCTTCCGGAAGTGTAAATTATTTTTTCATTTTTGAAGATTTTTATTATAAAGTAGAATACAAATTAGTGACAAGTCTATAATGCATTGTTTCAAGGTGAATGACTTTGTAACACCTCCTCTGGAAGGAAGTAAAGCTGTTCTACCGAAGCCCCTCCATTTGCCTCACTAGAAATGCAAATCCGTCCCTCCACCCCTCCCAACCAACTGATGTTTATTGTAGTCCCTTCCTTGAACATGTATATCCCTTAGTATAGTTTAACCTTGCCAAGTGATTAAAAAAATGATGGATTTTAGTTTTCTATAGGTTTTTGTCTCCTTCCTTTTATTTATTTATTTTTTATGTGTGTATGTATGTGTGGTGGTGTATGTGATGTATATATGCATGTTCACATGTGTGGAGGCTCGTGTCAGTGTGCATAGGTGCATGTGTGTACATTTGTCTCTGGAGATCAGAGGTTGATGTTGGGTATCTTCCTCTGTCACTCTCCACCTGATATATTGAAGCAGGCTCTCTCACTTGAATCTCCAGCTTGTGGATTTGTCTACTCTAGTGAGTCAGTTTGCTCTAAGGATCCCATGGCTGTGTTCCTGGCTGCCAGGAATGCAGGAGGTCCACCATGTCTGCCCAGCATTTACATGGGTGCTGACGATCCCAATTCAGGTCCTCACACTTGGTGCTTTATCCATTGAGCCGCCTTCCCAGCCCTGCTTTCTTTCTTTTTTCTAATACGTTATCAGCTGAAGAACTAGACCATTTGATCTTAGCATTCCTTGTAGCTTGGGCTATTCTGATTGTAAACTCATGATACACCTTTCCATGTTCCACCCTTGTGTGCCTTGTACATTGGCAGCTGGACCTGAGGCTTCATCAGATTCAAGTGTCATCTTTTGGGGACAGCTATGGGCAGTAGGGTGTTCTTCCACTGAGCAGCATATACTGTCCTGGTGTCTATTGCAGTGTTACCAGCTGATTCTGCTCATTGCCTAGAATTAGCAATTCACTGGGGTTGCAAAATTGTGGTTCTAACTGTATCTAAGTTTTAGTTGCATACTTTTATTTATTTATTTTTTTCTTCTTTGATTTTTTTTTTTTTAGTGAGATTTTGGCTGCTATAACGTTCCCCACCCTGAAGAGGTAACCCTAAAATCTTTTAAGGATTACATACAAGCTCCCAAATTCTTTCGGCATTTTTG